CTTCAGAGTCTCTAAGCCAGTTAGCAGCAGACTGCGAGGAGCCCGAGGAAGCTGAGCCTCGAGTCCTTATGTGGCCGAATATTCAGAGGAATCGGAGACGCTCTGCAAACAGCTGAGTACGCATCAGAAAAATAATGCAGCCGTCCAACTGTGCTTCATGTTTGTGATAGCAGAGGCTGGTGTCGTCGGTGTGATTCTGGGGTTTGTGGGGGACCGAGCATCCATCACTTTATGGGTCGTAACACCAGTACAGTCAGCTCAGTGTAACGATGAACATTTTCTTTAGTAAAGAAAACGAAAAATTCGTTTTTCCAACAGAGAAAATAAAATATTAACCGAACAGGACAAATAGGCAGGATCTGATATATAAAAGAAGAAATGTCCCGTCCAGCCACTGTGAACCATGTTTCTGGACATTAAATCTGTTTGAACGTTAAGATAAGATCAGCTTTATTAGTCCCACACGTGGGAAATTAGTTTTGTCACAGCAGGAAGTGGACAGTGCAAAAGTTATGTAGCAAAAATGAGAATATAATAAGAATAAATGGAGTACACAACTGTACAGAATAGAACAAAATAAAATACTATATACAGTAGAATAAAATAGAATAAAATATACAATAGGATAAAAATAGAATACAAATTCTATATACAAGTAAAAATACAACGATGGCAGAAAAGAGTGTTGCACTTGTTGCAAGTGTTGTTGTGGATGTGTGTGCTTGATTAAAGATAAAAGCCTGACGCTGTCACTGGTCAGCATGAGTCAGCATGTGTCCAGGACAGATGAACCCTTTGAGCACACTAATAAACACCAGAACAACTCGTTTCTCATATGTGTTCATATTTCATGCAACATTTCAACAGCAAAGACTTTTTACAAAAACATCAGTAAGTAGTCGAATCCAAAACTCTAAATTCTGCAGTTTTTAGATGAATATAACAGGATTATTTCAGGTGTCTTCTGTCTGCAGACTCTGATGATAGCCTTATCCTGCTCTCTGATTGGCTCTTTGGACCTGCTCTGCTCATAGCTTCATATCTCTGTGGTTGGATTAGAGGAGCTTTGCTCAGCTCAGCTGATGAGTGTGCAGTCCTCTTCCTGATCAGTGACCTGTACTCGTCGGTCGGTTGCTGTCGAGCCTCTGAAGGTGTCTGTAGTTTGTGCAGGTTTTTGTTTTTTGCGCGTATTCGTCACACCTGTTGTTACGGTAACCAGCTGATGGATCGGAGCAGGTTTGGTCGCCGCGATTAGCGAGGAAGAAACAAACGCTCGAGCAGCGTAGAGTAACCATCCCTGGAGCGCAGCGTTTGGGTGAAAGGCTCAGTCAGGCCGAGGCCGGCGTGATTAATGTCCTCTTTGCAGCTCGGCCTCAGCGTCAGCGCCGACCACGCAGCCTCTCCGCCCGCTCGGCGCTGCTCCGCCGTCAGCTCCTGGATGGATCCGGCTCCCTCTTCTGTGTGCGGTCCCATCCATCACGGGCAGCTGGTGGGTGCCCGGGCGACATTGTGTTTATGCAACTTAAAGAGCTTTTCTCTGGCCCGCCACATTGATGTATGGCCCAGGAGCCCAAAACAGATGATGTGTGCAGAGGGAGGATAGCAGAATGGATGAGGGCGCCAGCGAGCTGGATGCACCTCACTGGGAGAGTCTGTTGATATTCACGTTAATAACGCAGTGCTGGGGATGAGGCGGGGTCGGCTGATGCTGTGCTTCTGCTGGAAGATTTAGAGGCTTCTGCAGGGAATGTGAGGCGCTGGCTGGTTTGATATTGCAGCGCTGCATGCCGCTTTAATACCGAGTGGGCTTTGCTCACAGTCTTGAAGGTTTTGGGGGATGTTGCGATACATTGGAAGTGACAGCAGCAACTGCTGAGGCTGATTGGAAAATTACGGCTCTTTCAGGTTGTATGTAAAACAGGAAGATTGATTGAGTTCTAAATGTTGCTGGTTTGGCTCTAAATCAAGTGTGAAATCTGAAAATGAACATCTCTGCGAGCGCAGCGAGCTGCGAGAGGAGGCAGAAGTGTGGTTTCAGCGAAGCATGCGCCGAATGCCAACGACGCTGCTGCATCTCTGCAGCTTTTATTTTTGGGGTTTCTTTGAACCTTCATGTCGTAGCGTCAGCTCGTCGCAGATTAGGAGCTCCACCTTTTGGCGTCGAGTGTGTCCCATCTCCCGCAGAGACCGGGTGGTTGGACATGAACTGTCCCATCGGCTCTGCACAAGTTTAGAAGCAGAGACTTTCAGCTGTCCTCTGGATTTGTTTTTAACACCTAATCAAACATGCATGAAACACGGAAACGCGTCTCACCACGTCCTTCCTGCCTCCAAGTTTTGTCATGATCCTGGGTCTTTTGACCCAGCATTTTAAGTTTGAGTTTATTTTGTTCATTAGGTTATTAGACTCCTTGTGTTTTCTTCCCCTGTATTTAAGTTTCCCTCACCCTTCGTCTTATGTTATCAAGTTTGTATTATCATGTCTGTCTCATGGTTCCTGTTTTATTTTGAAGGAGTCGTGTGTTCTTTGTTCATTGTATTTAGTTTCACTTCCCTTGTCCCCTCATTAGGCTCATGTCAGTCAGCTGTTCCTCCATGTGTTCCCACTTCCCCTAATCACCTCCTGTGTATTTAAGTCCTCTGTTTTCAGTGTGTGATTGTCAGGTCGTCTGTTGTCCACGCCATGTTTCCGATGCCATGCTTCCAAGTTCCTTGTCTAGGTTTTTCTTATTGTTTGTTTAGATTTCCCAGTTTAGGTTTGTGTTAATTTTGCTTCAGGTTGCCTTGCCCTGTTGTTTGTACCTTTTTTACCAGCCATATTAAACGGCTCGCTTTTTGTTAACATTCAGGTTTGGTTCCCTGTTCCTTGGAGGCTGCATTTTGGGTCCTTTTTTCAATTCATACAGTCTGCCCTCGCCAGACTGTGACACCTTTAAACCCTGAATAGTTTCTTTTGGTGTGCATTAGTGTGGATATTAGTCACATGTTCATGTAAACAACAGTAACATCAAACCATTACGTGTGTGAGATGTGGTTTTGATGTCTGGGTTACAGTTAGGTTAGGGAAAGCAATGAGATGTCCTCACTAACACAGCTAAACGAGAATGTGTGTTTCTCCAGACACCAGCAAACGATGCTTCGCACGACGTGAAACTTCCATGTTAATCCAGACTCATCACGAGAACGTGGTCTGTGGACCATCTCAGAGCTTCCTGGAGTCCACAAACGTTTGCGTGGTGCTTCTTTGCTTTTTCCACCATCCAAAAACCAATAAACTGGTTCCTCCCACTCTGCAGGCCCCTCAGGTCACAGAGCGCTGGATCAGTTAAAGGTCCGCCCTGAGTCTGGGGCCGTCACGATGCTGGAACAGGAAGTGTGGTGACGGCTTCCTGTACCCCTCTGCGTGCACGCAGCAGGGGCTGAGAGAAAGAGGGCGGCCCTGGGTGGGTGGTGTGGGCCCAGACTCCCGTCAGTCACAGTGATTGACTTTTCCACTTGAAGGACACGAGCGTCTTTCCTCCCTCTCCTCTGGGAAGCTTCAGCGTCTAACTCGAGCGTTTAAAAAGACAAAGTGTCAAAGCGCTAATCGACTTCTGAAAGCGCCGCTCTCACTTTCATTCTGTCGCTCTTCCCAAAATAAAGAGGGAGAGGGGAAGATACAGTTCTTTGGCAGGCGGGTTAATAACTCGCTTTGCTGTGGACGCCTTAAATTGGTTTCCATTGACACCTGCTATCTCTGAGCCGATAGCAGTGGGGACCTCATCAAGTGCAGACGCCGATGCCGCCGAGCAATAACGTCCATCCGGCGCCGTGTCAGAGCCGGACTTTTGTTCCGTAGCCGTCACTCGTCAGTGATGCTTCCCGATGATAAATCGTCCATTTCCATTCGTGCTGCTTTAATTGCCTCGCCACGAGGTTGGGCTTATCTCACAGTAGACATTCAAATATTGAAATATTTGTCATTACCGGCCCTTTTTTGTCAGAGGAGGCAGAGAATCCCTGATGAACGTCTGCAGAAGGAGGAAACTCTGAATCAGCAGTTTGTGCTTTAGGTGGGGCTGCCTCCAGCCTCCTGCTGATGTCATCAGCTGCTCTTTATCTCCTCACACCCGCCCATCACCCTTCTGTGACACAAGAGCAGTCCTGTCACTTATACCACAGGTGTGTGTGAATGAGGGGGACACGAGGAGGAGCTGAGGACATGCAGGTGGTCCCAGCAGCAGGGGGTCGATCCTTCCTCTCAATGCTTTGCTGCTATTCTGTGTTTGTAGAGGCTGGAGGTCAGGAGAGGTTTGGAAGCGTGTTATTGGAGGGCGATGATGAAATCAGCAGAGACAGCTGCGGAGGAGGCGTGGACTGAGGCTGAGCACAGGGACGTGATTGGCTGCAGCTTCTATTCTCTCTTTTACTTTTTTCCATCGTGATTAAACTGCCGGCTGCTCTGTGCTCCTCAGCCTACACGCTGATGCAGGAGCTCTTCTTCTTCAGCCGCTGTAGTCTGAACTTTATGGGGGGGCATGAAGCGACAACAGTCTGGATCACATGAATAAGGTTCCTGACCTGCTGCAGTTCCTCTGACATCCAGCAGGGGCAGCAGTGAGTCAGCCCCCATAGGCCCTGTGTTTCCCTTCATAGCAGGGGCGGGTTTTGATGATCCATTTATCGATTACAATCGATTCTAACTTGGATAACGCGATATCGATTCATTAAAACCCCGAATCTATTTTTAAATGTAAATTTATTTTTTACTCCAAACGCCAGAATCTCAGGTTAAACCTCACAAATTCCAACAACCACCAAACAGCTGAAACAGTGAATGAGAACAGGAACACGATTCTGCACAAAGACGTCAACACAAAGCGCCGACCCAACGAAACATCAGGATCAGCGAGCTGTCGCCCCCGACGGCACGGACACGGTCGGGGCTGAAAGCCGACAGCTCGCTGATTCTCATGTTTCGTTGGGTCGGCGCTTTGTGTTGACGTCTTCTTTGTGTTGACGTCTTCTTTGTGTTGACGTCTTCTTTGTGTTTGATTCTGAAGCTGCAGTTTTGTTGCTCTCCAAACAATATCAACCGAACCAGCAGCAAGAAAAGATCCAAACTACGCTTCAGCATCAGGTCATGTTCAGATGTTGAGTCATGGTTCTCTTCAGTTTTTGACTGCACAATATTTTCTGATCCGGACTCTCGACATCATGTGACCAATAATACAGGGAGCTATATTATAAGTATCATGTAATAATAGTGTGAGGTGACAGGTGACCCTGCCTTTACCTGTGGAAACAACACACTGAATCAGGTGTGCTTCAGCTGGGCTGTCGGTCGTCCTGCTGCTGATCTTCATGGATCTCAGCTCTTTCATCACATCTGTGTCACTGTTATGGGTTTAACTGATATGTCAAACAGTTTTTGTGTAACTGCTTGTGTGTGTCTGTGGAGCGAGGTGTACATCAGAGTGCTGTACTTTGTCCTTTCACCTGGGACGAGTCGTGCTCAGGTGATTCAAGCTGTCGCCCGGGGACTAGTTTACTGAACCGTGGCAACGCTTACTTCCTGTTTCCGCCCAAACGCCCCAAAGAGCTCAGCGCTCCGGAGCGTGACAGCGAAGCCGCTCTGATTGCTTTAAACGATGCTTCGTGGTGCTCGCAGCGGTCCTGGCTGGAAGGGCGATAAACGGCGAGCTTCATTAATGGATGAGCTGCGTTTGTCTCCTCGGGACAGGAAATGAACCCGGCCTCGCTGTCAGGCTCCTCTGACTCGTTAAAGCCGGACGCTTTTTGTTCCAGCTCCAAAACTTTTTTCTCTTATTGCAAACAAGCTGCATTTTCCACTGCAGTGGCTGCTGAAGAGCTCCGTCAGCATGTTTGCCTGCTGCGAGGATATCAGTGCTAATACGACTGCTGGCATCTCCTCCTTCCTCACAGAAACACTAATTGGTTTGGCGGCGGCTAATCTAATTGGACACCAAAGGTTAGTTATGTGAATCCACACGAAGCCGAGCCCTCCCCACAGCCGCTCTTATCTGCGGCTCAGGCAGGCTGAGGAGGACGTGCGGGGGGAGGCGGCCAAAGTCCTGCTCTATCGTTACTGGCAGGGCTTCAGGGGGAGGGGCTAACTGCAAAGACACACACAGGGAGAAGTTTGTTTCTTCTGATTTTCTTCTTCCTCTTTAAAAAGTGGATCAGTATTCCGGCCTTTTTCCACCGGGACATGTAAACCACGGAGCGCAGGCTCTCTGAGAGGCTGGCGGGGTTCAAGCGAACACTTGGAGGGGGGTTGAAGCATCAGGGAGTTCATTCTGAGTGGACCTGTTACACATTTCACACGTCCACACGAGTGACACTTGCAGTGGATATAATCTCATAAATAACCTGGATGTGCTCTGGGGGGCGTGTGTTCGGTGTGTGTAAACGCTGTGTTCGAGGTCAGCTGCAGCGTGCGCTGTTTCCACGCGGCAGCAGACAAGACGAAGCGTCTTTCACGGATTTCCTCGACATGTAAATCATTGAGTGTCTGCGAGTTTGCAGTGACGCGGCAACCTCTCTGACCACGGGCAGTGCTTCCATTGACCTCCACGTTTGGCTGATGGCCGGGCAGATGTGGTCTTATCGCCGACCTCCATCTTTTCTCCATGCAGCAGCTTATCTCCATGTTGGAGATAAAGACATGGAGAGGCCAGGCTCGCCGTCTGCAGACACAGAGCTCCATTCTGTTTGCTTTACTGCACATGTGCACGTATACGCGCATGTGTAGGTGACGCTGCAGCTCACAGGCTGACGTCACGTCTTTCGCCGCTCTCAGTCACTCAGAGAGCAGCTTCTCTGTGCTGGTGACCAGCCGGACGGCGTGCGTCGTGCAGCCGCTCAAGCGAGCTGAGCAGGACTTCCTCATAGTGAAGAAACATTCTTATATGGTCATCTTAAGGAGCGTCTTAAGAGGCAGCCAATCAGAAGAAAGCTGGATTTAAGGAAGGGGGAGGGGCCTTTTTTTAGACTAGGAAGTGATGGGCTGTAAGATAAAGAAGGATTATTGTGAACAGTGAATCATGCAAAGCTGCTGTGAAGGGTCACACGAGAGCGTGTTTCAGGGTCGTCATGGATACACAGACGGCGTTTCTAAAAAAAATAACCAAATGTTTTATTTCATGTTGATACATTCTTGGACGACACCACAGAATAGTTGCATGAGTGGCCAAATGTAAATCTCTCCCACAACATTGGCACATAAGCAGCAAGGGCAACATGAATATACCAAGTACAAACAGTAGAAAACATACATGCTTCCACTTTTTAAAACGTGTTTTTCTTTTTTAAATATATATTCTCCGTGTGTTTCTCCTGCAGGGAATAAGAAACCGAACAAAGCCACATTCTGCCGAGCGAGAACGTTTCCGAGGAACCGAAGAACGGACGATTCGGAGCAGACAGGTGGGATCGACTGTGGCACAGAACTTATTTTTCTGGTTCAACATCAAACATATCAGGCATGCATTGACAACCTCGACATCGACACCTTTAGTTGGTTTTTTTAGTCCATGAAATCAGCAGAGACTCAGCCTGGACCGAAGGAGGCTCCCTCGGGGTAAGGGTCTGCCCCTCACCCCCACCGCCGCCATCAAACACCTACAAACAGTGTGTGGAGAAGAACACGCATGTTGGGGAGGGAATGTTTCATCAGGTGACCACGAACGGCTTTAAAAACACTTAAAAACTGTTTTGGCTCCGTGTCACGGCCAGCTGAACGGTCAGATTTCAGACCTGCTGCTGTGTTTGTCAAAGCCTCTGAAAACGCCGTTTCTCCACAACACTGACGGTTTGCTTCATTCAGCTGATTCTCACCTGGAATAAACCTCGTTAATCTGCTCGTGCGAGGAACCATCTCCAGGCCGGCGTGACTGAGGTCCAAACAGGAAGCAGAGGGTAAAGCAGGTCTCGGCGCTCCCAGTCGTTCGTTTTAACTTTCAGAGCATCAGATCGTCGACATATAAGCAAATAAAAATGGAGCACGACTCTCCAAAAGGCTTCAACCTCTTTTACTCTGTTTCACTGTTTGGATTTCATCCGTTTTTTAAACTCTGATTTCCACCGTGAAGATTTTTTAATGACTAAACTGTGCTGGGTAAACGCTGTAGTAGCTGGTAAAAGAGGCTGAGGGTGGAGCTGCAGGGTGTGTGACCACGCAGCTCAGGTATGATATTTTTTAATCATGTTTATTAAAGAAGTCTATTTCAATGATTGTGTATTTTTGAAACGACCTCTTGTCTTTTTCAGGGGGACAATAAAACCATGTTTGGTCCCTGATTGATGGGAACAGGCCAAGTCCAAGAAAGAGTAAAATAAGTCCTCTTACTCCACCCGCAGGGGTGTGGGTGGAGTAAGAGGACTGGGGTCAGGACGGTGCAGGTACCGCTCCGAGGCTACACAGTGGCTAACTGCCAGCAGACACCCCCAGAGCGGGCACTGTAAAATTCTCTGCTGCCTTCAGCCCTGCAGCTGTTTCCTGCATGCAGCCCAGTGCATTCTGGGATATGTAGTCAGGAGCAAACGAGCCGAGCGAGTCATAAAAACTTTGTTTTCAGAGGCTTTTTTTTCTCACGTTTGCAGGATAAAAATGTGAGTCCAGGTGGCAGCGCGAGCGAAGCCCTCCAAATCTCCGAGCGAAGAAGAATATGGCTTCAATAAAACCGAGAAGCAAAGTACATCTGTCGTCGGCATGGCAACCGCAGCCGTCTTACAAACCAACAGAAATCAAACCAACGGAAAGAGGCCGACATATAAGCCATAAAGAACTACACACGCGGACAGGAAGGTGAGAACTTGCAGTTTGGAAGTACATAAAGAGACACGAGGGGGCGGGCTCACACTTCGTTTGACATCACCGGCGGCACGGAGCCCATCGGCGCCGCCCAGTCATCGCCGCCCGATGCATCCGCCGTGTTCGACCTCACAACCACTGGCATCACTTCAACAACAAAACAATTAGATTTTTATTTCTGGAGCTTTTCTCGACCTGGAGGGGTCAGAGTTCAGAGGTCGTCCCACCACGCTCCGCTTTGCACCTGAACGTCTCCGATGGGCGGTGAAGCACATGAGACCAAAAGAAGAGAAAGAAAAAGTCCTGCACGTCGCCGCTTTTCTCCCGTTGCTCGTCCTTCTTGCAGGAGATCAGACATCTCGCTCTGCAGTGACGGAGGAGCGCCGTTAGATCACGAGGTTGTTGTAGCTCACGTACTTCTTCTTAGCTGCTGGACCTGGGGACGGCAGGAGACACAGAGGTCAGATTCGGTCCTCACGGCTGCTTGAAGAGCAGAGATGAAGGTTAATGATGGAGCAGGGATGAGGTGATGACAGACGTTCGGGTAAGTAAGGCTTGAATTATGAACTCTCAGCAGGGAGGACGGGACGGTGAGAGGTCATAACTCAAAAGCATCTGCAGCAGAGGGAGAAACAAAAGGAGTGTGGGCTTATCTGAGGGTCGACCGATCAGCCGCTGCGGTGGGTCTAACTTTGAGCCACAGGTGGCGCTAAAGAGCTGAAGATGGAAAGATGGCAGCTGATGAAAAGACTGAATCTGTGAGGGATCATTCATCTGCACATGCTCAGTAGAGTCTTCACATCTTGGAAAAATGCGTTTAACCCTTTATTTACCATCTTAGAAGCAAATCTTCAAATGACTGCAAAATTCAAACGATTTTAAATTTAAAGCCAAACTGACGAAAGACGTCCGTCGGGCCTGTAAATACACGCTGGTAAATAAAGAGTTCATGGATGTTTGAAAGGCTTGTGTACTTTTGTGTGTTTTTGTACTTGTACTCAGTGGGAACAGCCTGCCTCGTGTCTCCATGCCGTAGATTTCATGGATTACGCCCCCACAACAGCGCCGTCATTTCAACATGACGTGCCCACAGACCTGGAGAACACCTCCAGCTGCAGGTGTTTCACTAACAGCTCGCTGAGCCGTGAATCAAACGCGTGTTCAGGTGTCGGCCCGCGGTGGCAGTCCTACGACGAGCTTCAGCCTCTGATGGAGGACGGCAAACATGCTGCTGTACTGTTGGCTGTGTGACGCAAACATTGTTATTAGAGTTCATTGAAATATTCTGTGTTTTGCACCTGGAATAAACTCAAGGATCAGTCTCTAACATGTTCCTGCCTGTAACACTCGATCTCGCTCTCTTCATTAAAGCACTCGCCACGTTGCTCGTTTGTAGCACAAACCTGTAACATCTGTTCCCTGCTGTGGATTTATCTCTGAGTAAATATGGTGCGTTGCTGTGGGCGTGCGGTCCAGCCGAGCTCCTGCAGACACCTGATCCGTGTCGGTGCTGAAGCTCTGCAGAGTTAGCACACGGCTCCTGAATGACGCAGGAAGCTGAGCGTGACGTGTTCGAGGGGTTCAAGGTGAGCTGTGCAGCTCCACCACCTCCATATCTCCCTGCTGCAGCCCCCCCGCTGGCACTTGACCCTCAGCATTCGTCCGGTGACGAATGGCTGGGAACCAGGAGCCGCCATCAATCGTGGCAGATAAAAGAGAAAACGGCTGCGTTTGCATATTGAGCAGCCGCTCTGACTTTGTGTCTCATTCACATTCAGGAGCAACATCTCCAGCTCGTCTGACAGCGGTGGGCGGAGCCTGATGATAACCGAATAAATTAACTCAGTCAAAAAAAAGAAGACGTTTCTGTTCATTCTCCCCCCACCCCCCCGTCTGCAGTCAGACTGTTTCTGTGCAACACTCATCATAAACAGTCAGTCTGGCTATAATTAAGCCTAAAATAATGGTTCCAGATTAAATGATAATGAGTCTCCTTTAACGCAGCTGAAAGCGTCTCAGAAAACTCGCAGACCCCAAAAATCCGACGTCTGGGAAACACGTTTATTTCTGCTCCGTGCAGAGAGAGAGATTACTCGTTGAGGAGCATCGGTCAGGGAGCTGGTCGCTCTCGGCCTCATCGTTACAGAGGAGAGAAAGCGCCAGTCTGTATGACCTTTCACACACGCGTGTATACAAACCTGTGTCACACTTTTACACACAGGCTCAGCTCAATGACAGAATATCAACAGGAATAATTGATGAGCTTCACCTGTGGCTGCTCCCCCTGCTGGAAACACAAGATACTACCGCCGGTTTTCCTACAGGCTGTTTGGGGGTGTGGTCACATGAGGCCCACTAACGAGGATCTGATTACCGTCACGACGCTCAGAGATCCGCCGCGGTCCTGTCATGGATCAGTCGGCCATCTCTGGCCTCGGCGTGCTGCTGCACTGGGCTGTTTTCACAGCTGCTGACTCACAGACCGCGGAAGTGTTGGGAAGTCAAATCGCTCCAAAAATAAACGTTCATCTCAGCCTCTGCTGGCGGCGTGGAGAGAGAGGCGGCGAGGCCTCGTATCGCAGGATGGAGAGACAGCGAGAAAGCGGTCTTTGTGGTGGAATCAGCTGGAGGAGCGGGGAGGATGGCGACGGAGGTGAGGAGTAGGAGGAGGAAAGAGAGGATTTACAAAGTGAAGGAGGAGGGGAGCGCTGAGACGCTCGAGGCCGAATGAGAGGGGAGGCGGAGTGGCGAGCGTAGGCCGGCCCACAGATGGCTCTGCCCCCCCCCCCCGGTGTGCCATAACTAACTACAGTGACTGATGTGCTGTAATTATGACGGGGCCTCGGGCTGCGCCACTGAGGTTTTCCCGCGGGGGTGTCATTATTTATGGTTACAGCCACGGCGCCTCGAGGAGCGTCCCGAGTTTTACTGAGAGCAGCTGAAGCTGATCCAGATTAATCAATCAGACCAGGACCCGGTTTTACCGCCACTGTTTCTCAGACTCTGGCGTCTCCTCTGCGATGTCTGCAGGACGAGGACAGGAGTGATTCTTATTGACAGACCCTGCAGACGACCGCCGTCACGGCCACTGAGGAACTCTGGACTCTGAAAGCTGATGTTTGCATTTGTACTCGTGGGCTTCACATCTGCCATCATGAAGAGCAGAGAGCTCAGCACGTTACAGAAACGCCACGCCTGCACAGGCGGCGTGCGAGCTGCAGTTACAGCCTCTTGTTCGAGCCGATACGCGTGCGTGGATCACGTTACCACCACGGCTGCTGATTCTGGACTTGGTGCCCATTTGTGTCTATATTTCTTTAATGCAGCTCCACAAATCAAGCATACGTTTTAAATCCTGACGTCTGTGGTGTGGGAGGAGCTACATGCGCGCTTTCTCCTGGTGACACGGTGTATTAAATTAGCTCACTGAGGCAGAGCCATCTCTGCGTCAGGGGTCTCGGGAGGGGCTTCAGAGGTTCAACAGGAAGATCCTGCACATCAGGAAACAACCAAACTTAGGCTCCTCGATCTGCCCGATCACTCGGTGTGGCGAAAGCCCGGTGGGCTGTGTCAGGGTCCCGGGTGAGGTGGCGGACACAGTGGTCTCACGGGGGCTCTGGGAGCTCTGGATTGGCCATGACTGGGACACTCTCTGAGCACGTGCAGAGCCCATAGCTGGATGAAGGCCTGCTGCGTCGGCTGGATGTTTCACAGCAGGTTCAACAGCTGCACACTTTACATCCTGATGGACTCAGGAGCGGCGCAGGAACCCCAGAGGTCACCGGGGGTCGGACGTGCAGTTAAAGCACCGGAGGACGGCCTTAAATCTGCCGCTCGGAGCGCCACGCTACAACCTCCTCGTGTAAAAGTTAAAGTCGGTTGAAAGAGGGCGGTAAAGAGCCGAGGACGTCACTTTTACATCCCCTCCCCACTCGGGTCTCTCTCCTCCTCCTCAGACCTCCAGGAGAAAATGGATCAAGGTCGGGACAGCAAAGCAGAAGCAGAAGATTAATTTGCTCTTACCTCTGATAAATTATGAAATTAGCCTGTGAGGGGGAGAAAAACATGATTTGGTGAGTGGTCCCAGAGGGAACCCCACTGTGAGCTGGTAATTTGATCACACAGACATGTAATTTCAACTTGTGCACTTTGTATTTCTGAGAAGCTGCGAGCCGAAGCTTTCCGCTGACTCTGCTATTACTGCGGCGTTTCTCAGCGGCGTCAGGAGCGCATCCTCGTCCTGCACCTGCTCGTTCCCACCTCGCGTTCCTTTAGCGTCACTCAGAGCAGCTGTGATCGAGTTCAGGACGTCTCCGAGGACATTTAGGTGTCTCCAGAATGGCTGACTTCCTGTTAGGACTCGTGTAGCTGCAGCCTGTGAGCTCACGCTGAAGCATTAATGACCTCGAGCTCAGTTTGGTCTGCTGTCAGCCGCCTCTTCCTGTCATGTGATGGTGATTGGCTCCGCCCACAGGGAACTTCCGGTCCTTTGTCAGGCTGCGCCTGCGGGTGATGAAACCTGTGACGAGGTGACATCAGCTCGCCACGAAAGCAGAAAAAATGTTGTAAACGTCGTTTCTGGCTCAGATGGATTTCTGCTCCATGCACTGGAGGACAGAGCAGAGCAGGCCGTGCAGCCCCGTTCACTCCAGCATCATCAGTCTGAATGATGTCACTGATGATGTCACAGAGACGTTTCTTGGTTTGATATGTTCAGCTGATTTGTTCTGAGAGGAGAACGATCAGAGCGACGGTCCATCGTCGACACGTCTGAGTGTGAACCCATACCGGCGAGTTTACTGTTTGAAAACGATTCGTCACTTTGATGAAGGAATGACTGATAAACCTGTTGTTTCAGCGTCTCTGTGGAACTAAAGTTACATGTGGCCCAGAGTTAGTGAGCAGCAGCCCTCCCAGAAAAGACGCCTAGGCCTGGTGGCGAGGTGGTCGGGGTGGCTGCGGGGCTCACGGAGCTCCACCCTGGGAGCGGTGTTACCTCACGATGGTAAAGGTTAAATATCTCTTATCTCACACTCTGCTGGAGCAGCTTTGCATGAGTCACAGTTCAAAACGCCCCGGACTTTGGTGCAGCTCGCTAGTTCATCCTCTGTCTCTTTAAGGCCACCTTCTTCTGATTGGCCAGCGTTAGGAAGCCTGCTGAGGGGCAGCGCTCAGCGTGAGCCGTACTGCGTGTGCTTCTGTTTCAGATGGATTATTCTTACAGACATTTAGCTCATGGATTAAAACTGTGGGCGTGTTCAGTTAATGACAGGAATCAGCAGAGTCGTCCTCTTCAGCCTTTACATTAAATCCATGTCTCAGATTTCTCAGTATTAACTGGAGCTCATTCAAACACAGACTCCCTGCTTTCTGTGAGATCAGCTGCTAATCCGCCCCACAGATCCTGAAAATCAGACTTTTCATGTATTTCAGAAGTTTGGAGAGACGCTAACGAGGACAACGAGGCCGTTAATGTATCCTAACGAGCCAATCATCACGCAGCTTTAGACCCACGCTGGTGTTCAGCATATAAACGTTAGTTCTTGGAGACAGGGCTGCAAAAATAAAAGCCGGTTTGTATTCAGAGACACGATTAGCACATGCACTCATGCATTTGTAAAGGAACAGTTCAACATTTAATAAAACCCTCCTCTCCTTCCTGCTGCTTCCTGCTAAACGTAGCTTAGCAGCTGATGATCACATGCATCAGACTTTATTTTCATCGCTTCATTCATTCAGCCTGAAGCACAGAAACTGTGAGTGTCTGCCTGAAAGCGGCGATCAGGACGTCCAAACACACGCCGGCTCCACAGACTCGTCACAGGCAGATTTAAACATCGTGTTCAGGGTCAACGTTTCACCTCCGGGAACAACAGGGAACAAGTCTGTGACATCTTCAGTTTTATGCTCAAATTTCAAAGAAACGTTTTAGCCGCAGAATTTTATTTATGATCTGAACAAAACACCTGAGGTTTGGGTTTATTCCAGATCATTCGAAGTACCAAAAATGAATCTGATAAAATGGTTTAACTCTCAGAAAGCGCTCTCTTTTCTGTGAGAGAAACAGAACCTTTGAGACGTCACTCGAGGTGTTTGGATGAGCTCTTCTAACTGTGCGGTGTCAGGTACTTACTGCTGGGGTCGACGTTCTCGCACAGCTCCGTCTTGGCCTCTCCGTTGGGCCGGTCACTGGCCTTGTGTGACAGCCGGGATGACATGGTGGCGGCCGTGACGACGGCCTTGAAGGATCGTTTCCTCTTCTGCACGTTGAGCTCCGGGTGGAAGATGATGACGTAGACTTTGGGCATGTAGAGCATGCCGAGGGCCACGGACGCGCTGAGGTTCATGGAGATGGTCAGCGTGGTGGTCTGGATGTACAGCTGGTGGGAGAGAGAGGGGAGAACGGGGTTAGTTAATGGTTTCATCTCAGAGGTGTTTTGTTCCAGTAACACTGTGAGGAACCTTGGAGTCATTTTTGACCAGGACATGTCCTTCAACGCACATATTAAACAAATATGTAAGACTGCTTTCTTCCATTTGTGCAACATCTCTAAAGTTAGAAATATCCTGTCTCAGAGTGACGCTGAAAAACTAGTTCATGCATTTATTACTTCCAGGCTGGACGACTGTAATTCATTATTATCAGGAAGTCCTAAAAACTCCCTGAAAAGCCTTCAGCTAATCCAAAATGCTGCAGCAAGAGTCCTGACAGGGACTAGAAAGAGAGAGCAGATTTCTCCTGTTTTGGCTTCCTGTTAAATCCAGAATTCAAAATCCTGCTCCTCACATACAAGGTCTTAAATAATCAGGCCCCATCTTATCTTAATGACCTTGTAGTACCATATCACCCTATTAGAGCACTTCGCTCTCGCTCTGCAGGCCTACTTGTTGTTCCTAGAGTATTTAAAAGTAGAATGGGAGGCAGAGCCTTCAGTTTTCAGGCCCCTCTTCTGTGGAACCAGCTTCCAGTTTGGATTCAGGAGACAGACACTATCTCTACTTTCAAGATTAGGCTTCAAACTTTCCTTTTTGCTAAAGCATATAGTTAGGGCTGGACCAGGTGACCCTGAATCCTCCCTTAGTTATGCTGCAATAGACGTAGGCTGCCGGGGATTCCCATGATGCACTGGGTGTTTCTTCCTCACTATGTGTTAACAGACCTCTCTGCACTGAATCATACTTGTTATCAATCTCTGTCTCTCTTAACAGCCTGTTCAGAGACTCCTGAACGAGCAGAGGTTCATCCATCTCCACTGCTGCTGACCTCTGACCTTTAACCCTTTAGAGCTGTGTAGTAGGTACCGTCCTGGTGACGGCTGTATTTCAGTCACGCCGCTCGCTCGTGTCAGCGGCGGTAAAGAGACTCGGGAAGCTCGCCTCACTCAGAAGCAAACTCTCGACACTTTTTATGAGCCAGTGAAGGATTGTGTTTTATTACCCGCCGTGTTCTCGACCCTCGCCTGCAGCAGAGAGCGGCAGCCGGCCGAGCCACGCCATTAATGTTTTATGCAGTGTGTATATTGCCCCTGTGTCCGAAGCCGTGGCCCCGTGAACCCAATAGAGGGCCGATACGGGCCCGGGAAGAATGCATAAAGAGGCACGGCTGTGCTGTAATGGGCTTCCCAGAGTGGCTTTCACTGAGTTCAGCCCACTGTCTTTATGTGTTATGGCCCTGCTGTCACAGTCTGAGCGACGCCATTAACGGGGAGAAGTCACAGCAGGCGGGGTGGGGCTGAGAGTTAGGGGAGCAGCGGGGAGAATATTCAGACCCGCAGAAAGGCTGCTCGCTTCCTGCGCCACATCAGCAAGAAACTACGCGGCGCTCTGAAGGAACACGAGGCCCTGCACCACCACCTGACGCAGGTTTAATGAGCCCGCGGCGTTTACCTGCATGACAGTCTGCACGCACGTCTTCTTCTACAAAGCTGTGGCAGCAGACACACCTGCACGTGTCCAGCTCATCTACAGTATCTTCATCCCTGCAGTCCCCACCTGCAGCTCGTGTGCACAGGTGAGGGTTCCTGCCATCTGTCAGCACCTCGTGTGCGAAAGACACCCTGACATACACGAGCTCCTCCCTGATGACCACGGTCTCGGGGTCGGAGACCTCCGCAGGTGCGAGCTGGACACACAGATGTGTTTGCTTCGTTACAAAGAGGTGACGGACGTCAGAAACGGGCAGCGAGAGCAGCGTCTGTCTGCTCCAAGCAGACGAAGGCAAACATCGGCGAGGAGGCGGAGTCAGTGGTTTGTTTAAAGCCTGTGTGAGCTGCTGGCCCTCAGCTGTGACAGTCCACTCTGAGCTCCCGTGGAGGAACACCTGCTCTGACAGGTGTGCGCACGATCGTGCAGTCAGAGGTCTGTGCGAGGCTGATGTGAATCAGCGATAAGATGACACGACTGATAGAGCCCAAACAGCAGCGCTCTTATCAGCTCACCTGCTTTAATGTCTATCTGTGAGGAGGCGGAGCTTGAGCTGAGTGATCAGCAGGTCTCTGTGGATGCAGACTGAAGTGAGCCCTCCAGACGTCATCGCTCATATACAGTCTGTGCTTGTAACTGTAGGTGGCGCTGCTCTGTTGCAGCTGTTTGGCTCTTTGTCTGTACACATCTGTCTGAGTGCTGCACATCTGGCAGCTTTTCAGCCGAGCTGGAGTGACCCTCCTCCTGAGCAGACAGCCTCAGAGCCTCTTCCAGCTTCACTTTGTGTTTCTATAATTCTGCTTCACTTCTCTTGCCTCCTATTTCCTTTGCACTTCTTCCCTTTCTGTCGCAGTCTTCATCCTTCCTCGCCTCCTTGCTTCCCTGTGACTCGTGGCGTCCCTGTGCTGTTTTCCTGACACGATGAAGGTCGTTTTCTTTCTTCGGCTGAAATGCTTGCGGCGTCCTTACGATGTTCTCACATGACTCCTGTTACTGCCGTCTTCTCGCCGTCACGTGAGGCCAAGCGCTCGGCTGCTCCTGCGGCTCTGATTGGACAATTGGTAGTAAACAACGAGTCTGGCCCAGCATGCTGCAGACAGACTCCTCCCCCCTCATTTAAAGCCCTCCCCCCAATGAAAATGTGCTCCTCTTCTCTGAAACCACATCAAAGATGGCCGTCTCACTGAGGCGGCGTCAGGCAGCCTGCCGTTTCTGTGTGAGGCACAAAGGTGGAGGTCGACTCCATCAGGTGCAAACGCTGAAACAGACTCCAACTTATCTACGTCAGGCCCAGCTGCGGTCCGGTCGGCGCCTGGCGAAATCATCCGCACACTTCTGTGTTTTATGGTTCACAGGGAAACGTTTCTCGTCTCGGCGCCACATCCGTGTCACCGTGCGGCGTCCTGGGAGGCGTTTCGATAAAGTTTTGACACGCTGTTGGTTTGCTGATGTCCTCTGCTGCTGTAGCGCGGCGCTCTGTGAGGCTCTTCATTTCCATTTGTGGCGGATTTATTGTTGGATTGCTTCTCATTTTATTGACTCGCTCTCAGCGCACAGACTGGTTCATTTATCCAAATAATTGGACGCTCGTGATGCTCTTTGAACCTCTGACCTGCCTGAGAGGCCGTACGCATAAAGTTTGATCAAGTGAAAAATTAAAAGTGTGTGTAAACACAAAGTGCAGACGGAGGCTCTTCATCATGTCCATAAAAGCTGCTCTTTAATAAACCTTCATCACTGAGGTCTCACCCGTCGTTTCCACCATCTGTGGCGGTGAAGCGACGCTCACTCAGCTCAGCTAAGCGTGTCAGAGCGCGCAGGCGCGTGGAGGAAAACCATCGACGGCAGGAACAGCGAGTTCAGAGTTCACGAAGAGATCAGAGCACCAGGTAGAAACCGCAGAGCCGAGACCCGGACAGGTGCGTGCACCTGAGTGTCCCTCAGAGCCGAACAATACGAGCGAGGAAGATTCAGGAAACCTCTCAGAGCAGGACAGGAAGTGAAACTTTGACCTTGGAAAGACGTCACCTCAGACGTGAAGCTGGACGTCTTCGTGGTTGCGGTCGTCGTAGTGTGTCAGAAGTTACAGTCTGAGCTTCACAGCGTCAGGAAGCTGCTGCTGATACTTCTTCAGGACTTTGTTCAAAGTTTAAGGGAAACTTTGCCAAAACTTTTATTTGCAGGAAGCTTTCGGTCTGAGTGACGTCCACAGATGTTTCCTGTATGGACCGGCGCACTCGCAGACACGGCTGCGCCACATTGCAAAAACCCACGAAGTTGAAGCGACACCAAATCACGGACGGTGTCGGCAGCGAGCATAAAGTAGGGGCGATGCTCGGAGCTCAAACCTCAGACTGATGTTTGTCCTGCCCTGGAGGTGTTTCACCTTCTGAGCTCTTCTTCACGGACATTCGGTGGCGTTAGGTGGAGGAAACAGTCGCAGCCTCGTCGTAGACCCTGCTGCACTCTTACTATGTGAAGTCAGGTTTCGCTTTGCGTCACCTGTGTGAAAACACGTCGTTCGCCAACAAGTCGCCTGATTCGCCCTTTGCTTCCCGGCTCTGTGTCAAAGTCAGGCTGAACCAACTCAGTGAAGCTGAGCTCCAACTGCCTTCAAAGGGCATAAATAAGCTCCTCCCCCATATCTGATTGGTGGCGATGTCGGGTGTACGTGGTGTTTAAGGCTCAGTTTTTAGCAGAGTTAAATATTTGCAGGTTCACCTAAACTGACATCAGTCTGCTGCAAACGCACCATGTGGATGAGGAGTGGTCATGTGACGAGGCCTGCAGCTAGTCACATGACCCTGTCCTGATCCTCCCCGCCTCTCAGGCCTCAAAGGCGCATTTTAACAATTGATGGCAGGAACGTGGTCATGATTCTGCCGTGTGCCTGAGGCCCGGAGCGAGCTGTGTTCAGGTCATTCCAAAGGTAAGACAGTCCCCGCCTTTGAGGACGTTTTGGACCTCCCAGCCACCGTAGCACATGACTCCTCTGACGACAGATTTTAAAGTAGAAACTGCTGGGTGCTGTAAACTCTTCAAAAACACTGCTTCCTTGATTACTCCGGCTGGAGCTGCTCTTTATGCGCTCAATAAAAACCGCTGCCACAGTTTCTGCTCGCCACCTCCAGACGCTGATAAAAGTTATGCTAACGCTGTTTTAGCGCCGTACACAGAAATAAAATGGTGCACAGTGGAGAGCGATGAAACGAGAGAAATGAAGCATCACTGCCGCAGAGCTGGAGACAGTTAAGGGTGGAGAAGGGAGAGGCGAGGGTGGAGAGAGAGGTGCGTGAGAGGAGGTGGAGGTTCAGTGGGCGTGAGCGTAAACGACGAAGGAACGCGAGACGAGCCAAGGAGGGCGGGGACGAGGAGAGGCTGCAAAGTTTAGAAGAACATCAGACACACGAGGAAGATCGACGAGACGTTCAGTTTGGATGGAGGGAGGAGGAGGTGG